GGGGAGTGGGGCCTGAGACTAGCCTCCCCAGGTGGCCAGGTCACCTGCCATCCATGAGCCTTAGCCTTGAAGGGAGCCTATGCCCTAGCGCTGCTTCAAATAGCTTCCCAGCCTGCCTGTGACGGACCATGCTCGCTACACCCTGCTCTAGGGTGGATGTTATGAAGCTGGGGTTTGGCGCAGGACTTCACCCCTCACGGGCTGTTCCAGCCATGGAGGCTCTGGGTGGCAGGCCTGAGGGTAGCCCCCACCCAGCTTTGGATGGCAGAGGCCCTGGTAGAACTGGCAGGAGGGCTGCCCACAAACAAGATCTATTTACACAGCCAGACCCAGGGCTAACAGCTGCCCTCCCACCCCCACAGAACCCTGCACCAGGAACACAGGGACAGTGACCAGCCAGCAGGAGCAGAGGGCTCAGGCTGGAACACAGTCTGGCCCAATGCCCCGGCCGCGCTGGGCCTACAGCAGCAATATGGCCCTCTGGGTGACCTCAGGCAGCTCCCTGGGGTGCAAAGTGGCCAGTAATGCTCTCCTGTGCGGCCATAAAGTCAGTGTTAGTGTCAGTCAGTCCCAAGGGCAAAGTCCCTAGGCAGAGAGCTCCCGGGCGCCAGGGTCCTTCCCCTCCCCCAAGCACATTCAGATCCCAACATACTGCCCCAGGGCACTGTTTGCAGCATCTTTTTAATTTAATAAAAAGAGAAAAGTAAAAGTACTCGAGCCATTCCCCTAGCAGTTGGGGACAGTTCTGTTCGGAGATGAAAGGGTCACTGGGCCCAACCCAGGCTCCAGAAGCAGAGCCAGGGCAAGTGGCTCCCAGGTCTCCACATCTAGTTTGAGAGCAGCCACATGCAGGGAAAAGGACCAGGGGCTGGGCTTTGTGTCCTGTCCCCAGGACCACTGCATACCACACAGCCCTGCCCAGGCTGCCCCTCCTGCTGGCAGGAAAAGGAGAACCAAGGAGGGATATTTCAGGAACAGGATCTTTGTGCTTTTCTAAACTGTGGGAGCCAATTACAAATCCCTGGAGCCACCGAGCGGAGATCATCTTTAGGTCCTGGGAGTTGCAGTTCAGTCCTACGACGAGAAAGTGAAAAGCAGCACGGAACGCGAACGTCAGCCCAGGTGTGTCTCAGCACAGGGGCCAGAAATGGAGAAGGCTCCCAGCAGTGAGGGGAGAGAATGCGAATGGACTTGCCAAGCCAATAAGGACACAAAGAAGCACCTGCCACCAGCCCTGCCGGTTACAATGTAGCTCTTTTACTAGCCCTGGAATGGGATGTTCCCCATAGCACCTCCTGCTGGGAAAGGCTGGGACGGGTGGCTCCTGCCATGCTCCCTAAAACACCTCCCACTGGAAGAGGCTGGAGCAGCTGAGATCTTGTCCCCCAGCCTGCGCTCCTGTCCCCGCTCCCTACACCACCTGATACAGGGGCAGACAGAGTGGAGCTTCCCTTGCCACGGTGCATACTTGAAAAGACAAATGAAAGGTAGTGTTTTCTTCCAGGCCTTGTTATCGGCTCTGCAGTGAGGAAAGAAACGGGGAGTGCAGCTGGAGACAAAGGGCCAGGGAAGAAAACTCCCCTGCTCATAAATAATCTTCATGTGGCGCCCCAAATACCAGATGGAGCTAGGGCAGGAGTTAATCCCCTTGCATGCCTGGAAACGAGATCTGCCCCCTGCTCCCTTCTTGGGGCCATCTCAGGAAATTGAAATACTTAGACCTATTAAGGCAATAGGAGAAAGGTGTGGGGCAGCCGGGAAAGCACCGTGCTTCCTCGCTCCAGCTCCTTGTCCAGGAAAAGCAGCTGGCAAAGGGAGTCATCGTGTCTCCCCTCCTCTCTTCCGTAGGTTCAAGGAGAGAAATAAAGTAAGTGCTCTGCAGTGGAAGTGGGGACAAGGGCACAGTCTGTCCCACGGTCCCTAAACCTTCTGCACCGAGGCCTCGCCAACAGGTGGCTTCTTGCTGCGCTTCTTCATGCGGCTGCGGGCATAGACACGCAGGAAGAGTGCCACAAAGACCACGGCCACACCCAGCCCGCCCACCACGGTGATGGCGTGCCCGTAGATGAGACAGGAGAGTAGGATGGCAAAAGCCTGGCGCAGCGTCATGATGATGGTGAAGACGGCCGCCCCAAACTGGTTGATGGTGTAGAAGATGAAGAGCTGGCCGAAGGCGGAGCAGATTGACAGCAGCATGGCGTGGGCGGCGAACTCAGAGTGGCGGGCCATGAAGTGGGCAGACTCCAGCAGGGCGCCCTGCTCCAGCAGCGAGCACATTGTGAAGAGGCAGGAGAAGACATTCACTCCAAACATCATCTGCACCGGGGACATCTTGTACATGAAGAGGGCGTCCTGCCAGTTGGAAGTGAAGCTGTCGAAGACGATGTAGCCAGCCAGGAGGACCACACCAGAGAAGGTGGTGACAGTGGAGAGGTGCTTGTTGGGGGTGCTGGAGAGCAGGAACATGCTGACGCCCACCGAGATGAGCACCGCTGTCAGGTACTCCCAGTACTCGTAGCTCTTGCGCGACACCAGCTTGCCCATCAGCATGACTGGGATCACCTTGGAGGCCTTGGCCAGCACCTGGGTGGGGAAACTGATGTATTTGAGTGCCTCATATTGGCACCAGCTGCTGAGGATGTTGGAGAGCGAGGCAAAGGAATACTTGTACATGGGGGCGCCATGGCGTGGCTGCTTGGTCAGGGCACAGTACAGGCCAGCTACAGTGAAGGCCAGGATCCGGTTCATGAAAACCAGGAACTGGGAGTCTTTGAACTTCTCGCCAGGATCAGTCTCGGTGGCCCCATACGTACGGGTCATGACACGCTCCTGGAGGACACCCCAGGTCAGGTAGGAAGCCTGCAGGGCACAAAGAGCAGAGGGCGAGGGCGGAGTGGAGTTGGCAGCTGGCAAGGAAGAACAGGACTGACTGTGCACCTCTTCACCTAATTGGGATCCAGCACTCTCCTCCCCTGCATACCCCATGTGCCCAGCAAGGTGGGGGTGCCTGCAAGGTGGGAGCAACACACAGGCCTGTCTGGCTACGTCAGCCTCACCCCCTTGGTTCCCAGCAGAGAGGCGGGGGGGAGGC